AAGGTAAGAAGCGATATGAAAATCCACTTTGAGTAATGGATGGTAAATAATTATTCTCTAAGGATTCTTGTTGGTTCTTGAACTTATTGTTAGAAGTTACGTCGAACGGAAATGGAAGGACGAGAGAGGGAGGGAGGAGAGATGCGGGTTCCGGTTTCCGCAACAATTAACAAAAGCCCTCGTCGGCTGGCGTTGATAAATTACGGTTCAGCAGCCGCTGGTGAATAGCATTGTCGTATCATTCATACGTTTTACCAACAAATTGCTCGCATCCACTGTGATTCGTCATTGCTCCGACCTCACATTTTTTTGCTTCGCTGCTCACGTGGCGCGAACCTTTCATATCACGTGTTACCAACGAGGAATGCACGAATCGTGTCGTGTTGTTAATTACTCGCCGAGGAGGTAACAACATTTTTTTTCTAGTTTCATGCCCTGTTCAAAGCAAGATTTAATGTTACGATTTTTATTGAGATTTATGGTCTGTTTTGTTATAATTGTGATCAATACGTTCTGTTACTAAAAGTTTAAACAGTTCGAAGATCTCATTGCGTGGAACACATAAAATTTTTTTGTCCACCTGCCGCCATCGGATTCGTAATAGCGTTTTGGTTTTATTTGACTCGAAAATTTTTGCACCTGCCTACGTGCAGTTAGTATGCAGATTTATCGGGCAAATATTTGATAGCACTGTTTCAACAGGATCTCCAAAGCGTCAACGCTCGTTATTTGTCGTGCAATTGAACGATACGCCGCCGCTGCGTTCTATCCGATGCGACTATTGTTAAGTTTGACATCGGTTAGTGGCCGTGTAACTACGGCGCCTTCCCATTTCTGCCGTATTAACAATGTCGCAGTTTAAAATACTAATGGGATCATTTCCATAATCGGGGGGCGAAATAATGATTAGCAAGATGTGATATTACAAATTAGCACATGAATAGAGCATATGTTATTACGAAATGACATGCTGCACATTACGTTCCTAATTTGTATAATTATACTGCCAGATAATTACCCACCTGCTCGCTCTTGTAACAAACCATTAACGATACCCCTTTACTACTTTATTAATTATCGAATAGAAGGTGACAGAATTATCGAGCGTGAAATAAAATATAGATAATAACTGTGTAATATCATACTTGTTTTCATGCAATAGAAGAATTCTTTAATATTTCATGGACTCAGGAAGACGGATTTTTAAGTGTCACATTTATTTTTTACCAATTTTAATTGCTAATTCGAATTTCTTTTAATTAAGAATAAAAATTTCATCGTTAATTCGAATTTCTTTTAATTAAGGAATAAAACCGA